CACCCATCTTTTTTTTTTTTTTTTTTTTTTTTTTTTTGGTACCAGGGATTGAACTCGGGTCTTTGTGCTTGCAAGACAGGACACCAAACCACTGAGTTAAATCCCCGGACCTGCTTTTTTTTTCACACTCCATTCTTGAGTGTGTCCTATATCTAGAGGCTGGGTGCGGGATATTATGACTGGGAAGATTACATCCCTGTAATCTTAGCACTCAGAAGACTGAGGCAGGAAGATCTCCAAAAGTTTGAGGCCAGTCTGGGCTACATATAAGTTCAAGGCCAACCTGAACTATATAGCAAGACCTTGTCTCAAAAAAATCAAAAAAGAAATTTAAAAAGGCTGGGAATGTAGTTCACTGTCTAGCTTACTGCAAAGGCCTTGGGTTTAATCTTCAGTACTGCCAAAGAACTGGAAAAAGCAAAAGCCAAAGGAAAGGTGCCTGCAGGGTACAACACTCATCCTGGAATGCTCCATTTCCTTACTGTGAACCTGCTGTATTTGGATCTAGACTGTCCCCCAGAGGCCATGGCTTGTCACCATTGGGCAGAGAGGGAAGCTTGAAGAGGCAGGGCCAAGTGGAAGGTCTTGGGTCATGGGCTGTGGCCTCACAGGGTACAGAGGGACATGAGTCCCCTACTGTCCTTTACACCTAGCCATGAAGTGAACACACCTCTGCCATGTGCCTTGCCAGGATATGCTATCTAGGAACAGGCCCTAAGCAATAGGCAACCAAGTATTAAACCATCTGCATGATCATCTGAAGCATTTTTTATGGTCACAGAAAGCTAATAGCAATCTACTTTTCATCTCATAAAAGACAAAACATCCTAGAACTGTACAAAACAGGCAGAATCTCCTCAGTGAACTGACTTGGCAAACCCAAGAGTGTACAACCCTCTGACCTTGACCTTCCTCAGTGGCTCCACACCCCATCTGGTGCTGTACCTGCAGGCAGAACCCAGTGATTTGCTGCTATTATGTTTTCTGTCTCCTCCTCCAGATTCTCACAGCTGGGGCCATCTTCATTCAGCTGGAAGACATGCAGAGCAACAGTGCAGGCACTCAAATCAATGGGCTGTGAATGAGAGAAGGCAAGTAAATCAGCACACCTCAGAATCTCTCCCTTTTCAATTCCAGTTAATTAGATGCTAAAATCCAAAAGTATGGTTGATTTATAGCGAAAAATGAGTTATTGGACTGTATGTGTCAATCACTTCTTGTATTTTCCCATCTCAAAATTAGACCAGTAAAAGGGCCCATTCCTCACCTTGGATCAGCAGTACATGATACACACAACATAACTGATGATTTTAGCCTTGACCACTAGATTATGGGAAGGCTGTGGGATATTTCCATTGGGAAGTTATACATCATTCCTTTTCTACAGTTTACCGTTTGGAAGGCGAATAGTGGAGTCCACACTTGAGGATTGGTGAGGGTGCCACCTTGTGAAGGAGATCTACACACACAGTTTGAAAATATCCTATAAAGAACTTTTGCACCACCCCCTCCATTTACTTAATCACTTACTTGTATCACTATGGACTGAGACATAGTTGGTTTATGACCTAATACTAAATATCCTTTCTGTTGGTACAATTATTTCAGACTTTGTCCATGTGTCACTAATTCAAGTTGGTTCCTGTTTCCATCTGACATGTCTTCATCCTTTTAGTGTTTCTGAGCCCTTTATAATTTGCTGGTACTTCAAAATGATCTAGCAGTTTGCCTGCCCAGCTATGGACATGACCATGTACATAAGAAACCCAGATCTCTCTTGCTGGTGACCACTAGGGTTGTACCCAGTGGGGAGCTGAGTTCCACTAACTTAACACCAATAAGGCAGCACAAGGCAGGGCCTGCTTTCCTCCTGCTGTGGGACACTGGGGCCCACGGGGTGCTGAACTTCCACCTCACCAAGCAACAACAGTTATCTGAGATGCTGTCTTTTCCCTTCCCTCAGCAACAGCAAGCCTGATGGGAGCTGCATGCCCACTCCCGGGGTAGGATGATGCCCGTTTGTTCCCCAGTCTCTGAAGTCTACTGTGAGTCAGCACCTCCCTTTTGCCTGTGTGTTATCAGCAAGACCCTGTGGGATGCTGAACACAGATACTCACCAGGCCCTCCACACATACTTAAGATTTAGTAGAAAACTACCTGTCATCCCAAGAACCAAAAAATAACAAGAATGAGAAAAGGTAACCAAAAATTGAACAGACATCAGAAATGAGGAAAATCATGTTCCCTGAACATTAGTGGCTCCTACATATAATTTTACATAATACCGTAACTGCTATCACGATTCTGCTATTATTATATATTCTTCAAAGTTATCTTTCCTTTGTATTAGCTAATTCTTATTTGAATTTTCAGGTTTAGTTAATAATTCACCATACTGGCTATTTTTTTTTTTTCAAATTATTGGTTTTTTTCTCCCCGTGACTGGATCCTAAGTCTATAGGATGAAGAATGGCTGCGTCTGGGTCTTTTCTGAGAACTTTGTAAGTGCCAGATTGTGGTCAGGATTCCTTTTGACATTAATGCATGGAAAGGCGGGGAACAGAAAAAGAAAAACCCACTTGGATTGGAAGTTGACAAAGAGAGACAATTGTTTTACCATAAGGTATTTGGTTTCCAATGGGGTGACTAAAGTAGCGATCAAAGGAAGAAGCTTGGTGTGACAGAATATATAGGTAGCTTATGTACACATGGTAGTGTCACATAACTCAAGTCGGTTCTTTTAATCAATGTCCAAAATATTCAAGACAGAATTTGAAAGATTTTGAAAATTTTGTTGGCTAGACTGTTTCCTTGACCATGATCCAGCTCCAAGATGGTATCAAAGCAGACTAATAGACTGATGAGGACTGAGAACACATAGTTTTCTTATGGGGCCTTTTCCCTCTTGATATAGCTTAGAAACATACTTATATTAGTAGCTGAAAATCTAGTTCTTTTAATGGCTATATCCTGTTTAATGTAAATGTGTCAAATTTATTTAGCCAATTTCTGGTTGGTAGAAGGTGGCAAGGTATCTCACATTACTGGTGCTAACATTATGGAACAAATATTTGTCTGTATTATCTACAGAACTGCTTATTAGTCAAGATAAATTCCTATGAGTGAATCGGCAGTCAAAATGAGATTATTAAGTTTTAATGGCCCTAAACCCTCTAGTCAGGCTGTGCTAATCTGGAGAGCTTTTCCTTTCAACTCAGGCTGGGCAAAACCAAGGATGATGGCATCAACTCTTACAGTCTTAAAAGATGTATAAGGAAGTACATGTCATAAGCAAAATTTCAGTGCCAAGCCCACTGCTTGAAGTGGCAATTCATACAGTGATCCTCTTCCCTCAAGACACATTTCTAGTTATTCTTATTTTATGCTGGTAACAGAATGGTCCCCATGCATTCAGCTCTCAGAGACTCCCAGTTCCCCCACATGAGCTCAGTAAGACGGTGGGGCAGACAGTCCATGCTCAGGAGGCAAGAGTTTCCAGACAGGGAGCCCAGCTCCCCTCTGTAACTTACACACTTCCTGCAGCCATAACACATTCACCAAGCACTTCAGGACCACTTAGCTGACAGAGTCAGAAACAGGTGCACAGGCCTCAACAACAAAGCCCGTTACTATATGCTGCATTCAAACTCTTGGATTTCAGTCTGTCTTCTGCTCACTCGGAGCGTTTTGACACTTGGGCTGAGTCTCATGCCAGCACCCAGCTCCATGATAGACAGCCAAAACTTGTCTGCACCCAAGCCAACAGATAACAGACTTTTCTAGCAGCGACAGTCATACCACCTCTGTATCAGCTGGTTCACCAGCATTTCAAATCAGTAAGTTACCTGAGGATCTTTAATCTTTAGGTCTGTGTCAACAACAGACACAGACTGTATATTTCTGGTCAGAAAAGGCTCATCAAACTCCGTCCATGAGTAATCACCAAATACAATATTATGCCTGTTGAGCAACTTTCGAACATTCAATTTTATATCTTCTTTTTTTGCAGTGCTATGAAAACAAAAAAATACACATAAAAGAACAATAAATTGAGACTATACTCAAGAAATTCATGAGATAAGGACAGGCAGATCGTGTGCCCATCTAGGGGTCCAATCTAATTCCACCGCCAGCTATGCACCCTCCGGAAGTCGCTCTCCACTCCCCACTGGCAAGGCGGGACACTAGGATTCTTGCTGTCTTGGGCTACGGTGAGGCTGAATCCACACATTTAGTGTTTATTTATTAAGACAAGAGCCCGCCCCTAGTCAACCAGGGCTGTGGCCGGCACTGCGGCTCCCAAATCCAGGTCACTTCCAGCCCGCAGCCGGCTCCAGAGCCTTGGCAGCAGCTCCTCCAACCCCAACGCTCGGCCCCTCTAACTCTGATCCTGGTCCCTCGCTATCCCTCCCGCTGGACTCTGTTCCCAGTCAGCCTCAGCCGGGTGAGATTTCGGGGTCCAGAGGTCCGCTCACCTGCCGCCGCGCTGCAGCACCTCCACGTGCACCGCGGGCACCTCAGCCACGCAGGGCAGCGCCTGTTTCA